TCTCTCTCTCTCTCTCTCTCTCTCTCTCTCTCTCTCTCTCAAAGAAAAAAAAAGAAAAGGAGGATAAAGTAAATGCTCCCCAAAATAAATATAATTGTATGGTTCACATTTTTTAAAATAAAATCAGAGAAATAGATTGCCAGACTTTGAGTAGAATGAATAGATTTTTGTCTGGGACATGTCTGTGAAGCTTTTCTGACTCCTAAACCAGTTTTTCATAGCCAAAGTAAACAGAGAGATGGAACAATTAATGATCTAATAGATTTAAGCAGTGTTTTAGTCTGGATTTTATATAGTTCATTTCTATTGGAATACAGGATTCTAAAGAATAAATGTAACTAGTTTTAATTAGTATTTTTGCAGAAGTCATTTGCATGTGAAAATTTTAAAATCAAATAATCCTCTAACAATTTTTATTTGCACTTTAATTTGCCTAGCAATTGTTTCTTTTTTAATATTTATTTTTTAGTTGTAGTTGGACACAATACCTTTATTTTATTGATTTATATGTGGTGCTGAGTATTGAACCCAGGGCCCTGCATGTGCCAGGCAAGCACTCTACTACTGAGCCACAACTACAGCCCCTAGCAATTGTTTCTTAATACATAGTCCAAAATTAAATCAAGGCAGACTTGAAATTATTGAGTCTTCATTATTGGGCCAAATTAATGAGGTTTTCCTGAACTTTTCCTTCTGGGATCTTATTATGGCTAATGATGTAATCTTATTTGTTTTCTAAAATATTAAAGTTCGATATTTTTGAATCTCTTTTCTGTGGCAGTACAGGAATTTGTTTATACAGTGCTTTTTATTTTACTGATGAGTTCATTTCTTTAATTGTGTGCCCTAAAGCCTACTGAAAATATTCCTGGAAAGTGAGGGATTAAATAGAAGTTGTAATTAAAATGAAGGATTTATCCTTTATTTCTCCTATTAGCTGCATTTGTTAAAATTTTTATACAACATTTAAATAAATATTAAGACTATTACAGGGCTGGGATTGTGGCTCAGTGGTAGAGTGCCTGCCTGGCATGTGTGAGGCACTGGGTTTTATCTCAGCACAACAATAGATAAATAAATAAGTAAACAAACAAATAAATAAATAAATCTATTATGTCCATCTACAACTACTAAAAAAAGGACTTTATTACATATTACATTGGTTGGATTTTGTGCATTTGAAACAGTTTCTTCCTATATTAGGCATAAAGCTTAGTTTAGACTGGCATAGTAAGTGATCATTTGATTGGAAATTTGGGTTGACAGAGAAGTTCAGTCTTCCTGTGCAGAATTTGAGACTTTGTACTATTTGAGATGAAACAGCTTTACAATCATGGTGGTAGTACTGAGCTACAGTGGGAGGAGAGATGCCAGGTGCTGGTATACAGTGTAGATGAGAGCCGCTCAGGGTTTCCTTCTATAGATTCTGCAACTGACCAGGTCTCCCCAAGGGGCACTGTTAACTCAAAGTCTTATGAGTAGAGTTTTAGAAAGGAGAGGAAATAAGAGTAGCTTTGGGGCACAAGGTCCATAATGAGCTCAGAGCTTAGTGAAACTCCCAAAGTTCTCAATGTCCCATCCTCCTGAGAAATTTCCTCCCTCCTAACCCTGAAAGTTTTGTCCAGTGTGTGACATAATGCAAATTTGTGTGGAGCTAGGCAGAGCGAGTATTACTACAGAGTCTAGATGCTGTCTTTAAATGGACATCCAGCATGGGAATATGGCTGAAAACCACTACCCCCTGCCCCACATCTTATATATAGCAGTGTAATTGGAATTTCACACAAGCTTTTCCTTCTTCGGTTTGTTTAGAGAGGACATCTAGGTGCAGGTTGTGTTTGTGTATTTTATTTATTTTATTTTATCTATTTATTTTTTATTGGTTGTTCAAAACATTACAAAGCTCATGACATATCATCTTTCATACATTTGATTCAAGT